AAATTAAAAAAAAAACTTATTAAATATAAATAATATAAAAAACCTTTAAGTATTTACAAATTTCACTTTATACTCTAAACCCACTCACTCCATGGCCTGGGATCCTTTCAAGATTTTTCTTGGATTGAACCTGTAGTCCTTGATAGGGATGTCAATGGGCCACGCGGGGTCGGGGAGTGCCTCCCTATCCCCGCGGGAATTTTTGACGGGGGTAGATTTTGCCCTCCGTCCTCGTTCCCCGCGAGGATCCTCATTCCCCACCAATTAATAACAAAGTATATATTTTTTCATCAAACATAAATAAAAATTAATTTAATACAAATAATTAAATCAATAAAATTGTTCCAAATAGAGATTAATCCAGAGAGAGAGTCCGGCACAGTGCAGCAAGCAGAGAGGGAGTCCGGCACAGTGCAGTAAGCAGAGGGGGTTCGGCACAGTGCAGTAAGCAAAGGGGGTCTGGCACAGTGCAGTGCAGCAAGCAGAGGGGGTCCGGCACAGTGCAATGCAGCAAGCAGAGGGGAGTCCAGCACAAGAGCAGATCTGCAAGCTGCAGCTAACAGCTTTGATAGCAGCTAACAGCTTTGACAGTAGCTCCAGGAGCAGATCTGTAACAGCTCCAATAGCATATTTGTAGCAGCTCCAACAACAGATATGTAGTAGATCTGTAGCAGCAAGAAGGGGAGAGGAAGGTTGAAGGTGAGGTGAGACTTGAGAGCTTGATTATTTGGTTGAGACCAAGAGTGAGTGAGGGGTTGTGGCTGGTGCGTGAGTGACAGAGTGAGGAGAAAAGGAAGGGAAATGAATAAAGTTAAAGTTATGAAATTAGGGTTAGAACTTGTAAGGACTAAGGAGGATGCTGGAATGGATTGTTGGGTTGGTCGGATAGGTTGGCCAGTTGGGTTGGATATTTGGGTTGGATACTTGGGTTGGGTTGGGTAAAAGTTAATTTTTATTGAATTGAGTTTGGGTTAGATTTGGGTTAGGTTTGGGTTTTATTTTAAATATTAAAGTAAATTTAAATTATATTTTTTTTAATTTTTCGCGGGGATAAGATCGCCGCGAGGCCCCGCGAGGTGGGGAAAATTCCCTACAAAATTTCACGGGAAGAAAATGCCTCTCATCCCCATCCCGCAAGAAGAAATATTCCTTTCCGCCCCATCCCTATAACGGGGATCCCCGCGAGGCCCCGTGGAAATTGGGAGAAATTGCCACCCCTAATCCTTGATTCTTTTTAATGGGGGAAAGAGCGGATCGCTTGCCAAACACGTTGGTATGTCTTTTTTATTTTATTTTATTATTAAAAAAAAACCTTTTTAGCCATAT